TGTTCCTACTGTAGAGTAAGATTGTGATCGCGATGATAGGTGTCCGTTATGCTTAACGGTAAGTCATATATGGATGAAATCCATAAAGCGGCGATTTGTTAATGCATCTATCTGAATTCATTTACAAGTGAGCGTGTTCAACATGTGAAAATGAACATGCGTCTTTGATGTTACGTGATATTATCAGACCTAGCCCTGGACAAGCCCCAGTGTCAATAAGGGATTTGCGCATAATTAGGCCTAATTATTGTTTAATTGTGCTTTTATCTAAAATGTACTTTGAAACAGCAGAAAATAGTATAGAGATAATAGTATACTAGGCCTAGCTTTTCTCAGTCCTAGTCTGCTGTGTAGGTCTGTGTGACTTTTCGGTCCAGCTGTGACCTTAACTGGGAATAATTGAGATATTTCAAATCATCTTGCACAATAAGCCTTTATTGCGTAAAATGTGGTATTGCACTTCTGTTAGTAGTATATGTTAACGTTATATTATATATTATGGAACAAAACCCAACAGGCTTACCTTACATTTTGTAATGAAGATAGATTTGTTTGCACGTAACTGAAAATACAGCCATCGGCTCATATAAATACGGCTCACTGCTCCTTTAAATTCGCAGACCTCGAAGCGCTGGTCTACTTCGAGACAGGTGGTATTTCTGTTTATTTATGTTTGTTCCACCATAAGCGCACCGGAGTCAACTAATGAAGAGGCTGATGAGTTGGTTATTTACTATAACAGGTACGCAGGTGGTGGCCGAGGGGTTCCAGAGATGTTAAAAAAGCTGCCTTATAGCATTCAAGTATAATTAACATATCATATAATCTAATATATGTTTTTAAAACACGTAAATATAATTGTATATAGATTTTTTAAATACAATATTTAAAAAATAATATTTATTTTGCTTGATTGAATAATGTAATGAAAAAACTACTTTTTACCAATCAGAGCGATTCCAAAGATGGAATATATTCACGGTATTTTACAGTGCTTTTCCTTTGCTGTTCATTATTATTTGTAAAAATGATCCAACTTAATTCAAATAAATATACACGTTTAAAAGAGCATATAGCCTACTGACACAACGCGTTTTTCTCTCGGTAGTTCTCTAATGTAAAAAGGCATTTATGACAGCTAGAGTCCTGAGACTGTTGGTAAATGTAGTAACATATTTATGATAACCAACAAGCCCTAGATCTTACTTAAAGAATTAGAAACATCGACGTAGGCCTAAATTACGGAAGGGGATTAGGGCCACGTGAAATAAATTCCAGAGAATTCTGAGAAAAAAAGTCAGAATCCTGACATTATAGTAAGGGACTGGCTGCAGACCTCAGGTCACATGCAATACGCTGAGTTTAGGGGCAAAATTGTTAGTGTAAAATGACAGAACTGGCAGCATTCCTGTGAATTCGTGGAGTTTCAGAAGAAGCCATTGCACATTTGGAAGAGCAAAAGGTAGGTGAAAAAGTAAACCTTGGTTTTATCGTGCCAGCAGGTCTAACATTAGCAATAGCATTTGTAGCAAGCACTGTTTGCAAAAGTGGCTTTTCTACTGGCCAAGTGACTGTAGACACCAATGCTGAGGTGAGTTGAACAGGTGACATTCGTTCATGTGATGTCTGACAACCAATTATTTTAAATTAGGTGTATTTCATGTGACCTGAGGTCTGCAGCCAGTCTGACTCTAACGTTAGGAGTTCTGACTTTTTTTTCTCAGAATTCTGACTTTTTTTCTCAGAATTCTCTGAAATTTATTTCACGTGGCCCTAATCCTCTTCCGTACTATATGGTCTCGGATGAGGAACTGCTTCTTTTACGTCTGAGTTCAGCGAAGTGCCTTTAATTCACCTCTGCCTCCGTGTACTGCCCTCTAGTGGATAGCAACATTAATTCAGCTATTTGTCGCACCATTATTATGACCATAGAGCTTGTGTAAAAGATATAAAATGAAACATTAGTGTTTACATAAAAGGACAAGAGTGTACTGAAGGATCTGTTAGCACATTTTTAAATCCCAATGAAAGCACGTGTGTTTGATAAAAAAACTTTTGCTGCTGATCTCTAATTTGTTTAGAGCTGCAAACTACTGAAGGAGTAGCAGGAATCCTTTTAAATGACACATTAAATGGGTAAATTCTTTATTGGGGTTTGAAATGGAACACAAGAGCTACCCATATGAAAAACACACGAAAGACAATATCAGAGCAGACAAATTAGCCATTTCCAAACTCATGTGCACTGTGTACATGAAAAGCCAATGCCCCCCCTCGCACACACACACACACACACACACACACACCCCAGGACTTCTGCAACCTCTTGGTCATGATACCACATCCCCTGAACAAAACTCCACTTACTGTACAAAACTGTATAAAACTACAACATGCGCTCTGCATTGTGTGTGTTTGTGCAGCGGTGTCACAATGCAAAAAGATACAAAACTAAAAGCTAAGTAAAAGACACGATCTACGTGCACAGCAGTGTGATGCGTGTTTCCAGAGATCAGGAAGTGAAACCAGCTGAACTGTTGATCAAGCAGGGACCTTCATTTCCTGTAACAAAACAACATGAACACATGGAGTGACCACGGTGATTCATAGAGTAATACTGTACAAACCAGGGTCTAAAGTGACCAACAGAAATTCACCCAGCTTGTGGTCACTTCTACCAGGTCCGACAGACCCTGCTTACCATTCTGTGAAAGAGCCTGTGATTCTCCACAGGAAAGGCAGGTTACCTCTTCAAGGAGCTGCAGGCAGAGGTGGTTCGGCGCAGAAGGTTTAGCCACCCCACCTGCAGGAGATTTCAGGGAATTGTGGGAATGCGGAACCAGGGCCCACCCCAAGTTAGAGTTACTGTGACCTGGAAGTGGACAACGCTAAATCAGTCTAGACCAGGGGGATGTTCCACAAAGCAGGATTTCTCAATTTGCTGGGTTAACTTAAGGTAGCAGTCATGATTGCTCCTTACCTAAACTATCATTGGACAATCATGACTTATAGCTTAGGGCAGCATTGTGGCACAGTGGTTAGTTCTGCTGCCTCACAGCAAGAAGGTCCTGAATTCGGTCCTGGGTCTTTTCTGTGTGGAGTTTGCACGCTCGTCCCTTGTTTGCATGGGTTTCCTCCCACGGTCTAAAAGCGTTCCAGGCAGGTTGATTGGCGAGTCTAAATTGGCCCTTTGTGGGTCTGTGCCTTGTGGTGTGTTGGCGACTACCCAGGGTTGGTTCCCACCTGCATCTCTTGTTCCCGGGATGGGCTCCATGACCCCAGTTGGGATTAAGCGGTTATGGTAATGGATGGATGGACTTTTAGCTTAAAGGGCCAGTTTTAGAGAGGCTTTATTGCTATCTATCCATCAAGGTTGTTCTGCTGGGAGTTGCCTAGTTTTGGAGAAATAATTGGATTCTTTCTGATGGTGATTAAAAAGCGTCAGAAAAATACATTTGAAAAAAATCCAACAGCAATGTCTCTTACCAGAAATCATGACCCATTTATTGAAGATAATCCTGACTGCTTAGTAAGCTGTTTGATGTAGGAACTGTTCTGTTCTACCAAACTCCACACACCGATCGTATCACTGCGCAGAAGATACGAGCACCCTGGCACCGTCTTCTCCACAGTGATACGACTGGTGTGTGGAGTTCGGAATATGCTATGCAAACTCCCACCTAAAGGATATGGTAGATTTTAAGTGCCTCCCCTCCCCCCTGTTGTGAAGGAGCATGCTCTTTGTGTGTGCAGGCAAAGCCAGAACTGAGTGGCAGCCTGGTGGTTTTTGGGATGGGGAGGGCGCTCTCTGGGAATATTTTTGAAAGTGTCTGTTATGTTTGGGGAAGGATCTGGCTTTGTTATGGAGGGATTTCCTGTAGGGCGAATGAGACAAATTGCACACCAAGATAACTAAAACCAGGAGACGTTTCTTCTGGCTCCCACATTAAACAAACCACTGAACCAGCCTGAACACTTAACGATGAGCTGCCTGCCTTTGATTGAGTCGCTCGTAGACTTACTCTGCCCTTTGGCTGCCGTAACTGGGTGTAGCACGTAGCACTGGAGTGGGAAACGGTCCAGTTAGAAAACATATACAGGTTTGAGCCATCTGTAGACACTTTTGAGTAAATGGGATGGTGGTAGTTGGGGAGGGGGGCTCACAATGAAAAAAACGCAGATTCAGCTTTCAGTGAAACAAACATGGCCGCCAGCTCTGAGTATGGGGCAGCTTTTATTTTAGTTGCAGCTGCTTCAGTTGCCCCCTCTCCTCCTTTTATCGCTCTCCTCCTCTTTCTCACTCTCTCACACACTCACTCTCTGCGTCTTTCTCTCGCTCTCCTCCTCTCCCATCCCTCCTTCCTGTGACTGTGAGTAATCCCATGTTGCGCACACGTGTCCCAGAAAGGTCATGGGTAAGGAAGCCTGTACTGCTCTGATCTGGGCCGAATCAGGAACAGCTCTCTCACCTGTGACTCTCTGCCAGTGTGTGTGTGTCCCAGCACAAGTGATCACCTGTGTTCAGATGCGCGTGCATATTCATGCATGTTTGTCTACATGTGTATCTATGTGTGCATGTTGGTAAATATCTGTCTGTGATGACAAGTCTGTTTATGAACATCAACAGAATTATAGGCACCCATGACTGGAGATGCACTAAAATACCATAAAACTAAATTATATACATCATTGTTATTTTTTTAAAGAATTTTTAGTGCATTTCCAGTAAGGGATGGTAATACTTCTGGAGCCCACTGTATACTTGCATCTGTACACGCATGTGTTTATATTCGTGTGAGTAGTACCTGGGTCTTGTCGGAGCAGATGGTCTGCAACTTCCTCAAGGAGGCGGTCTTGGGCT